AGTCTGAACGTGCTTCTTGCGGCTCCTGAAAATCTAGACCATGATCACTATCCTGTCGAGAGTCGTGAGATAGTATTGGCCACATTCGCTGCAGAGGGCCTGGAGCTCGGTGTGCGTGGTGTGACTGCCTGGTCGTTGGAACTGTCTGAACGTGCTACTTGCGGCTTATGAAAAACAAGACCATGATGCTATCCTGTCGAGAGTCGTAAGATAGTATTGGCCTCATTCGCTGCATTAGGCCTGAAGCTCGGAGTGGATAGTTAATGTTTGTTTGTCATAAATGTCTGAATCTGCTCCCTGCGACCACTCAAAAACTAGACCATGATCACTATCCTGTCGATAGTCGTGAGGTAGTTTCGGCCACATTCCCTGGAGTTGGCCTGGAGCTCGGAGTGGATTGTGTTAATGCTTGGTTGCCGGAAATGTCTGAAGTTTCTCCCTGCGACGACTGAACAACTAGACCATGATCACTATCCGGTCGAGTGTCGTGAGGTAGTTTTGGCCACATTCGATGCATTGAGCCTGGAGCTCGGTGTGGGTGGTGTGACTGCCTGGTCGTTGGAAATATCTCAAGTTGCTTCTTGCGGCTCCTGAACAACTAGACAATGGTCACTATCCTGTCGATAGACGTGAGGTAGTTTTGGCCACATTCGCTGCATTGGGCATGAAGCTCGGAGTGGATGGTGTTACTGCTTGATTGTCATAAATGTCTGAAGTTGCTCACTGTGACCACTGAACAACTAGACAACGGTCACTATCCTGTCGAGTGTCGTGAAGTAGTATTGGCCACATTCGCTGCAGTGAGCCTGGAGCTCGGAGTGGGTGGTGTTATTGCCTGGTCGTTGAAAATGTCTGAAGTTGCTCCCTGCGACGACTGAACAACTAGACCATCATCACTATCCTGTCGAGATTCAAGAGGTAGTTTTGGCCACATTCGCTGGAGTGGGCCTGGAGCTCGGATTGTATGCTGTTACTACTTGTTCTTGGGGAATGTCTAAAGTTGTTCCTTGCGTCTCCTGAACAACTAGACCATGATCACTATCCTGTCGAGTGTCGTGAGGTAGTTTTGGCCACATTCGCTGTGGTTGGCCCGACGCTCGGATTGGATTTCGTTACTGCTTGTTCATCGGGACTGTCTAAATTGGTTTTTGCGGCTCCTGAACAACTAGACCATGATCACTATCCTGTCGACAGGCGTGAGTTAGTTTTGACCACATTCGCTGCGGTGGTCCTGGAGCTCGGAGTGGGTGGTGTGACTGCCTGGTTGCCGGAAATATCTGAATTTGCTCCATGCGACCACTGAACAACGAGACCACGATCACTATCCTGTCGAGTGTTGTGAGGTAGTATTGGCCACATTCGCTGCAGTGAGCCTGGAGCTCGGAGTGGATGGTGTAACTGCTTTGGTGTCATAAATGTCTGAATCTGCTCCCTGCGACCACTCAAAAACCAGACCATGATCACTATCATGTCGAGAGTCGTGAGGTAGTATTCACCACATTAGCTGCAGTGGTCCTGGAGCTCGGAGTGGTTGGTGTGACTGCCTGGTTGCCAGAAATGTCTGAAGTTGCTCCTTGCGACCACTGAAGAACTAGACTACGATCACTATCCTGTCGGGTGTCGTGAGGAATTTGGACAAATTCGCTGCATAGGGCCTGGAGCTCGGTGTTAATGGTTTTACTGCTTGGTTGCCGGAAATGTCTGAAGTTGCTCCCTGCGACCACTGAACAACT